CCCCGATGGCTTACCCTCTTAAAATTTGAAACCACGTTGTCAATGGATAAGCATACAAGCTAAATCTCCTCGACCCGTCCTGTCTTCTCCCACTGTACCGAATACTCTATCTTTTCTTTTCTTTCTTTATTATTTCACCTTTATTATTTCACTTATCTCAACCTATATTATCTACACTACAACCTATTATTATTATTCTACTTTTATGACTACACCGAATGACCAACGGGTGTTAGGTCAAACTCCATTCACGGCAGCAGCTGAGTCCTAACATACTGCAGACTACAAACCACAATCTTGACCAATCCTCGCACCACTCCTCTTGGAGTCTACCAGAGCTAAAGCAGTCGAGTAGCGGGATTTACTACGCATAATTTCACCGAAGATCTGGAACCTCTACCTTACAATCAAAAAGCGAGCTCAAAGAAATCACTGGTTTATACTAGCTCGTAATCAGGATATTGGATATTGAACCCAAGGAGGCGAAAAAGTGTGCTTTCAAAAGGTGCGTTACTTTTGTTTTTTGTAAGTTGCAGACAGTCTAATCAAAGAATTACTATACTTGATGTTGCATGTACTTTAGGGAGGTCGGAAAAATAAACAGTGGTGACAGGTACATGTAGGTTGTAAATTTTCGCTTGAAGTGCGAGATATTTACTTTCAAAACCTTGCAGATCTATGGCAAAAATTAAAAATGTAATAGGCAAATACCTAGCTAGCACTTTCTTTATTCGCATTTCAGAACGTGGAACAATGATCCGCAGTTTGCTCTGAACATTCTGCAGTCCCACCGAAGTCGATTCCATATATATACTGTATACTTTACAGTATTCATACCACGTACGTGGTATCTATAGATAACACACTCTGAGTCCAGTGGGAAGAGATAATCGTTGACCACTCAAAGTGAATGTACTTTTGCTGCAAATATATCCCCTCAGAATCATTATGATTCAGCAAAGTATTCCTAACTAGCCTTAACTTTGGGCGTAATGCAGAATGTTTGGGGCAGACTTTGGGTAAATGTCCCACGTTCTGCATTGCGCCTGGAGGAAATGCTAGATGGCGCTATATATATAGCCCAAGTATACTTAAAATTTGAGATATAATTGCATTTCTGGCATATAGTTCGAGGTCTTTAAGTGGTGACTCCTTACATATAGAGAAATCCAGGCATTATAACAAGCTTGAAACCGAAGTTTTGAAACTCGTCTTATACTATAGTTTTGTAATTGCCATACTGCTGTGGAATAATTGCTGTGACAACATACACGATACTCATTTTGGCTACAGTCGATGATGGCATACAAAATTTCTTTTATTTCATACTTAAGATGTAAAGCCCGCATTGGTGCTTCTAGTAAGGAGATCTTATGCAACGAAAACCACGCTAATTGAAGTTCCTTAGAGATTTCAAATCTCTCAATTTATAGAAATACTTCAATCTGTTATAAAGTGGTACACATTACTTAAAAACAAATTAGGAATCTCAAAGATGTTATAACTGGTGGCTATAGAAAGTTTTTCATCCATTGAATTATTCCTGTGCTTCTCGAATCGTCTATCCAGTGTCGTACTGCTTTACTGCTTTTTTTCTTTTTATTTTATGGCAACTTTAACGTAATTCTGTGTAAAGTTCTACGTTAATGTCTTGATCTGACAGCTAAAGACACTCAGTTATTTCACTAGCAGCACTCATGATAAATCTCGCCTAGCCGATAGTAGTAAGCTTGTTACAGACTAGCACCTCCACCCCTTGAAAAAAGAATTGAGAATTAAAAAACAACCCAAAGCCATATATTATACTAGGACGAAAACAATTCACTGGTTGTTGACGGAGTTGCACAATGCATACAAAAGATTGACCTGGCGCTTGTTAGCTTGTGTCTTCTTTACCACTACTGAAATTCCTGACTGTTTATCAGTGCCGTGTAAAGAGATCAACGTAGTGACGTAATGTGACATTGATTGGTCATCAGTACATAACAAGAAATCGTAGAATTTATGAAGTTATGATAGCGTTTAATATAAAAATACTTATTTTGAAAGTGTAAAAGTATTTTTACTATAATTTAACTAACTTCATCTTATATTTTCTGTTTTCTAGGCAATGTCTCACTGAAAAAAGTTCTTGTTGATTTATATGGATATTGTATATATACATCAACACAACTAGTTCATTTAGCTACACATGTTGTTGTTGCGTCTTTATTCACGATTACCGAGTTTTCAATGTGTCCGGTTTCTGAATAATACAACTGAAATCTCCAAAAGAATTGATCGTTTCAATGGAATTCATTTGAATATTATTTCTTATGAAAATAATGACTGCAATAATGTTATTCGTTCGTGTTTGTTCTTGTTAATTTCTACATATCCTTACAAAATTTATCTTCTTTAGAATATATCAGTGATGTAATTAACGATCCTGTGGGTTTTAAAGCTATATGGGTAACTTTGAAATCAGAACACTGTGAACTTGTGCCTACTCTGTGTAAACCATGCCCGCTTGGTTTGGGTTTAAAATTTCACCATGCCTGCGATTCAGAAGCAACTCTAGTTCGTTGGTTGGGTGAAGGAGAAAGTCGACTGCCTAATTATGCTTCACATCAAGTAGGAGTGGCTGGTAAGTTCGTTTGCCCTCTTTGATTATAAATACATCACCGTTTTCAGTAAATATCTTGGTGGAACTATATCTAAAACAATTTATTATGACTATGTTACACAATGATAAGTTTTTTGATTTTGGTAACATTTTGAGCGAACCTACTACTTATGATGACACCAGTAATTAATCAACCAATATCTTCTACCTAGACGAGATTGTCAAACTTGCCTATCACATTGATGCGATGAGCAAGGTCATTTATGCTGGGAGCAGCTGACGAATAGGGATGTAACAACAGTAAGGTATTTCCTCCAAATGACTACCAACCCAGCTATTCTGCCTCAGCTATGAGAAGGAGGTTTTAAAAAGACGGTCGACGCTGAAAATTGTACATCCCGACTTAACTTGCCGTGGTTTATAACAGGCGGTAAAATCTTAATAAAGACACAAACCACTTCAAACAGGCTTTGTGTGGTTTGTCCCAAGCAGGTGTCCCCTGGGCTCTATAGAGTCGTGCAACGAGAATGCTCCTACTGTTGCAGGTACTTCAAGAAGAGATCAACTTCCACAGTGTGGACAGGGAAGTAATAACTGCCCGCAGACTTTGATAAACACAAAGCTTTCCTTATCATTTTATTTTATATATAATATTTTTCAATACAGTTATATTCTACGTTCCTTATTAAGAAAATGTTATGCAGCTACAGTTGAATTTAGATTCCTGACCCTAGGTCATTAGTTATACGTATTTCGATTTCAATGTAGTCTGACTGATTGACTGGCTGGTTGACTGACTGACAGAGTTTCAACGTAGTACTTTGCACAGAAGTGCACCACTTCACTTTACCGCACTCCATATATTACATAAAGGTAGAGAAATAGAGAATATTCAAAATAACTACCTTGAGCAGGTAAATATGAAAATTTCGATGAATCTGGGAAATAATGAATGCATCTGCGCCATTGAGCACATTTTTAAGTCATATCATCAACATTCATATGCCATTGGTTCTTAGTATCCCGTAAACATGTACTGAAGCTACATTGCTTGATCAGGCTTAATCTAAGTCTTGGTATAATTATCCTGTTCTTTCCTGTTAACTGTGTTGTCGTATAATCTTACAATGATGTAATTAACTTGTTCGTATGCCTTCCTTGTAAATAGTGATGATAATAATCGTGTTCCTAAATGCCAATTACCCTATGCGTGGACTTTTATTCAAAATCTGAAGCCGAAATGGCTAACTTGTCTTTCAAAATACGAAACCAAGCATATGCTTGAGTGACTCTTAGAACCCATAACTCAGGATTTGTGTGAAGTTATGGCTCTGAGACAGTGAATACCAACAACAACTATTAAAACTAAAGAACATCAGTCCTTTAGGTGTCTTTTTTTCATTCCTTTTTTTCTAAGTGGAACATAGGACTCCAGATTTGAGCTGGTAATGTTGTTTCTATTACGGGGTGAGGTTGGTAGCCACACACCCAACCTTACCTCTTTACTGGACTTATTACCGACTAGGCAAGGTTTAAGAGTGCGTCAGCAGGGAATCAAAACTAGCTCACATAGTTGGCGAGCATTCTGCTACTGAACCATCAGTGCAGATATTTCGTATGATAATCTGGTGGCCTACTTAAATAATTGGACTGCCTAAATTTCCATCCGGTATAATGTACAAACTTTTCTCTATTTCTTATTGTTTTAATTATCTGACCGTGTTTTTCGATTGCTATACGAACTCGCACAGTCTTAGTGTGCTGTAATACTAAGCACTTCTCAACAGAAATGAGGAAAAAATATCATAGAAACTTGGATATTCCTTCAGATAGAATAACACAGAGGCACACGATGTAATTCCGAATACTATTCTACTTGAAGATCCTCTATAGAGAGTAGATATGTTGCAATTTTTAGTAGCCTGAAAATTCTGTACTATGTCGTATTTATATTTACCAAAAATGTATAGTAGTCTATTATTAAGTAATAGGGGAGCTGGGTGATATAATTGATGTAATTACTCAGAAGTAGCTTCAAAAGTAAAAATAAAAGTTATAAATTATGGAGTACTCAACAGCACAAAGGAAGAAAACGTTAGAAATTGGATAAGGTTAAAATTATTATTGAGTGAGAAGAAATGCATTTGAGTGTCAATTTAACAAGAGTGGAGAAGGTGAGAAAGCGTACAAAAGGAACATGTGAAAGTGGTAGTAGTGAATTAGTTATTAAGGGAAATTTCTACGAAGATTGAGGATCTTTCGAACCTAGATTGTCAAGGTAAGGACAATACCTGAACCAGCTTCTTTTGGACACATAAATTAAGCTTCTTAATGTGGTTCCCAACAGCCTCAGCAACATTTAGTAAACGAAATCAAGGCGAAGTTAAGATTTGTTGGTATGCGCGGTAAATGACTTTGAAAGCCTCGTTAACATCAATCTGTATACAGAGTTTGAGATTGTATTGACGAATTACCAATGCCTTCGCTATACGCAAATACCGACACCTGACACCCTTAGTACCATTTGGTCTCACCTTGTAGATAATCTTGAAAGACGACTCTGGTGTGGAGCTGCGTGGCTTGAGTTTACCAAGTCCTCGAGAATTGAGTTAGTAACTGTCTTGCATTGTTCTTTTGCTGACCATGCTGGATAATGTTCAGAAATGCGTTTAGAAAGTGTGCGGCCTACTTAACCAGCTCAGCAGAAGCAGGTGAATTTATTAACACACACTGAAGTAGCCGAAGGTGGTAGTTTATCCTTCACACATCCATTGATCACTTATCGGTTGTAGAAATTGATTCGTAGCTGAGCCTTTGAGAAGGCTTTCTTCAGTGATCTGGATAAGATGACTTCGTCGATAAAGAAGATTTTCTCCGTTGAATTGTCTTTTATTTTCTTCATCACTCAATTGGTATTTTCGGTGGTCTCTGCTGTGTCTACAATAAGGCTGTTATGACGTTTTCACATGCACTACTTAGTATCAATAAGTAGTGTAAAGATTAAGAAGCAAATTGAATTTCCCGGACCTATTGATGATGCGTCGATGATTCAGCGGTAGATTGCTTGCCAATCACTCGTGTGGTTCGAGTTCAATTCCAGGTTGACGCACACAAAAATCTCACATTGTTTACTATCCAGTATTAAGGTTGGGCGTGGGACTGGTAACCCGGAAGAAAACGAAGCTGAAATTTCGAAGCTTGAAGTTATATGTTCCACTTGGAACATAGAGGAATAAAAGGATATTAACGGTGAAGACAGAAAACCCAGCTATACCATGGTTAAACGCATTATAGACACAGGGCATGATGTTGGTGTTTCTGTGTCTCTTACACCTGTGTGTAAAACATGTTGGGTGCGTATCCTAAAGTAAGTGTAGAACTTGGGCACTATGGTAGAATTATTATTATATTATTATTGTTTCCTTTAGTTCCTAGAGGAACATGGAGCTTCGGCCGCACGTCTCCATTGCGTTCGGTTCTCTGTCAACGTTTTCATCACCTTTACGTCTTTCCACATGCTTTCATCTCCTCTTCATATCACATCCTCCTCCAAGTAACTGTCGCACTGACGACGAACTTGCCGCTTCCCATTCGGGTTACACTCGAGCGATGGCCTGGCGTGTGATGTCACTTGATGATAGTTTATTTTCTCAGAGTATGGCTAATCCACCTCCATTTCTTCCTGCTTATTTGTTGCACAATCGGTTCCTGGTTGGTTGCTGATCTTTTCTGGCCGGCCATCTCATCTTGAGTAGTATTGAGAGAAGACAGCTGTTGATGAAGGTCTGTAGTTTGTTTGAGGTGCTCTAATGACGCGCCACGTCTCTGATCCGTATAGTAGCACTGACTTCACATTGGAGTTGAAAATCCGGACCTTATTTTTGATGCTGAGTGATGTTGACCTCCACACAGACTTGTGAGTAATGAAAGCTTGCCTTGCTTTCCCGATCCTCGCTGCTTTGATATCCTCCTCAGTTCCGTCCGCCTGTAGTTGAAACGATGCTTCGCAGGTAGGTAAAAGAGGTTGTTTCTTTCAGACTCCTCCCATTTATGCTGATTGATGTCTGTTGTTGTTGCTGTTGCTGTACTGTGGTAGAATGCAATTCCACATTCTTAAATCCTTTTTGTCACTTTGTGTACTTTAATTGGCCTTCATTTTTCACATAAACTGAATTGACAAGTAAATGTGTTAGGGGTCAGATTGTTGTTCGAAATGTATTGCACAAATACATCGCATTACTTTTTCAGGTAATCTCTGTCTTCTAAAAACACTATCCAAATTCAGTATCAGATAAGTTTTTTTCAAATACTACATAGTGATGTAGTAATAATTACTGGATGATGTTTCGAGCACAAATTATTGCTCCAAATCATATCAATTGATTTTCATTACTGTGTGATATTTGAAATAAACTTATCTAATATGGGAATGCGTATCCTAAAGTGTGTGGAAACTCTAGCAGCAATGAAGTTTAAATCACTTTTATGTGTTCAAAGGTAATTTTGTCATCACATTAAATCTTCGCAGGTAAATTTCATTTTGAAACCATAGTATGTGTACTATTTATTATCTCACTGTTTTAATCTATTGATCTGCACTGCTATTTTGATCTTTAATATATCCCTTTAAAACTTGACCTAGATCCATTGTTTCACTTCCTAACACTATTATTTTCGCTGTAAGAGTGTTCTCTGAGCTAGCTGGATGGTTTATTTGCGAAGCTTCCATTGTCCCCAACTAGACAACATCTTCAGAGCATACTTCAGTTTGTTGAAGTGAGCTTTTACATTTCTCCACGAGTTTATTAGTCATCTCTCCTGATGACCTGACCTTGAACGTGATTGGTTGTTTTTGTGTGTAGTCAATGTATGCTTCGCAAATAAACCATCCAGCTCAGATAACACAACTACATCAAAATCATCCATCTGAGCTACAAATCTTCTCCATCACTATTATTTTCGTATAAATCCCTATGTGTGTTGCCTAAATACACATTATATATATGCTTCAGATAAATTATGCCTCTTTCCTGTCGTGTCGAAATTCTCAAAAGGAACTAATTGTTTCAAATAAGAGTAATAAAAATATACACTGGGAAACTGTTTTTGGTAGATAATGTCCCCCAAATTATTAACAGAAATGTATAAAGTGAAATAACCACAGTAGGTGGATGATGATTAGCAGCGGAATCCAGTATGCGCATTTCGTCTTACTTGGAACTTGGCAGCTAGCTGGATGTACCGTACCTGCATTCTCCAATAAGTCAGTGATGATGTTCCCACCTAGGCTCGAACCCAGGGCCTGTAGTTTCGAACGCTAAAGCGTTATCCACAAGAGCCACCTCTTGTAGAACAGGTCTTATTAATTATTACTTAATTCAGTTTAGTCACCATCCACCAACTGACTTCAAGTTACATAACCAGACCATCTTCGAAGCATCTGCACAAGGAGCCGACATATCAACGTGAGACGGGAGCACTTTGGTCCAGTCAATCGACGGGAAAGAAAAATCTAAATTGAATGAGACAACTACAGGTTGTATAAGTGCCATAACTGTAGTGCCTTTCGCGTGTTTTATGCATTTCGGCTTAATACACACAATTATATCAGTTTTTAATCACACTTTATAATTTCTATTTCAGGTGTATTAACCAATTCAGATAATTCTGAAGTATTAATGGTTCGTGAAAAAGGTGGTTCTTTGGTAAGTGTTGGTTTTATGTGGATTTCAGTGATATTTTTCTTATCTATTTAGTTCACTGGTTGGAAATTTCCTACTGGTTTGTTGAATCCAGGAGAGAATATTGGTAAGTCGTCAGTTTGCATGGATAACATTCATCCCATATTATATTTAATATAATCAAGTGAACAGACATGTTGGATGACTGCACTGACTGATTGGTTTCAACATATAACGCTGCACAGATGTGCACCAGTTCCAGTTGCTACACTCCCTCCTTGTAGCACACACAACGCAAAAGAAGAGAGTAAAGAGAGATTCAAAACAGAGAAAGAGAGAGATAGTAAACAGAAGTGTGGGTGAAGTTAAAACAATAGCAATAACGGAGAACAGCAATAGAGTTTTATTGGATATGACTGGAAAATCACAAAGCGTGAATACATCTCCGCCAGCTATTGACAACGAGGATTTCGAGCCAACCATATCATCAATTGTCTCCATCCTACATTGGTTCTTACCATCATCACGAGGACCCCAACCGGTCAGCTAGACAGTCTACACTTCCCTACGTGGCTGACTGGTTGGCTTAAACTAGCTGTCATGGATTTCATTGACTGATGAAGTTATGTTTTGATTTGATCACCACTGTCTCTTTTCCAACCTGATCCATCAAATGTCGGTTAACATTGCCTGTTGTCGAGGAAGGCGATGGCTAAGTATGCATGCTTAACACACGTTCTAATTGTCTTAGTCGATGTAACTTCACATCCTCGTCGATTTCTTTCCTTACCTAACATTCGACGCCTTACCACCTCAATATTACTTAGCCAATTATACTATCTAACACGAGAGATAGAACCCAGACAGCTGTGATCAAACACAGCTAACTAGGCTTTCATGTCTTCCATATTCAATGGCCATGCTTTGCTCACAGTTAGCCATAAAGGAGGACAGAGCGAACTGCTGCTGCCGCTGCTATGCAGCGCACACGTCCTTTGGTCGACAGCCAGCCGGATATCACGTCTACTAACTAGGCCAGAGATGGCGTAAGTTAGCAGGGAAATGTCAAACGAGCCTTTTGTATTCGTGCTGAGATTTCGTCACCGATCAACGCGTAGGGCTGGCTGATGCAACTTCCCAAATAAGTGAAGTGGTCAACACGCTCCACTAACCACTCCACTCCCTATCTTTAAGCCAGCTAGAAGTCAGTGTAGTCCAGTCCAGTCGTGTAGCACCATCATACATTTGACAAGGTAAGTGAATCTCATTCCAAACATTGTCAGATTGCTGCTCACCTCAAGGTGTTCAGAAGACTCTGCATTATGTCTGCATCGTCACCTAGATGGAATATGTCATTTGGATATTCTAAGTCGACGAGATTATTCCATGGTGGTAACAAGTCAAACCTTGAGCCGTTGTAGTCACTTAGGGTTCATTCCATTAGTAAATGTATGACGTGAATACATATGTGTCACCTCTGTATGATTAAAACTGAATCGTATGATGCGTATATTTTCAATATATAGTCCACTTACATTATATTATTACTCGTCACTCGGAGGTTTTATCAACGTGTGTACAATCAATCTCCATTTCTTTCTGCATATTCTTTGGCTGATAGGGTCTTGATTGGTTTGTTAAACGTTTTACCAAACGCGTTTCTATTAATTTCCTTTTTATTGCATTACAGCTGAAGCAGCAATGAGAGAAGTCTATGAAGAATGTGGAATCCAGACAAATTTTAGTGGAGTTATCTCTTTCAGGCAACAACATGATTTTCCTGGTTCATTTGGTTTATCTGATTTATTGTTTACTTGTCGACTTCAATTACCCAATGGTGTTTCGAAACCTACAATTAAAAGTTGCTCTTATGTAAGTTGTTCATTCATTCATTTAATTGAATTAGTTTTATTTAATTCTTATATATTATTGGAATGTCAGTTATTGGGGGGGGGGAATTTCAACAATGTTATCTATATGGCTGTTAGAGAGTATCGTTAGAGAACTGATAATTCACCAGGATGCATCTATGACCCCCAAAAACGAGGATCGAATCCCCAGGTCTTTCAAGTGACTAGGCGAGTGTGTTAACCATCCAGAGAAATACAGCAGACCCTTTTGAACACCTTCAGAAGAGCAGAAATGTTCTAATATTTGGCATGCAATTCGCGTGCTCCTTGTCAAATGTATGATGATGCTACACGACTGGACTAGACTACATTAACTCACTTCTAGCTTAGAAATAAGGAGTGAAGCGGTTGGTGGAGCGTGTTCACCACTTCACTTATTTGGGAAGTTGCATCAGTCAGCCCAGCGAGTTGACTGCTAACGAGATCTCAGTAAAGATACAGAAGGCTCGTTTGGCATTTCCCTGTTAACTTACTCCATTTCTTGCTTAGTTAGTTAGCAGACGTGATATCCGACTTGCTGTCGAGCAAAGGACGTGTGTGCTGCATAGCAGCAGCAGCAGTTCGTTCTGTCCTCCTTTATGGCTAGCTGTGAGTGGAACATGGCTGTTGAATATGGAAGACATGAAAAGCCTAGTTAGCTGTGTTTGATCACAGCAGTCTGCGTTCTATCTCTGGTGTTAGATGGTATAATAGGGTGAGTAGTATTGAGGTGAGGTATCGGTCGATTACTAGGTAGGTGGGAGGGAAATTCAGTCGACGAGGTTGTGGAGCAGCTGCATCGATTGAGATGGTTAGGACATGTGTTATGCATACATCCCTAGCCATCGATCACCTTCCTCGACAACTGGCAATGTTAGCTGACATAGGATTAAGTTGGAAAAGAGGAAGCCAGTGATAGTCAAACCAGAACACGGCTTCATCAGTCAATCAAATCCACAACAGTTAGTTTAAGCCAGCCACGTAGGAAGGTGTAGACTTTGTGGTTGGTTGGGATCCTCGAGATGGTAGGAACCAATGACGCCTGGAGACAATCGGTGATACAGCTCAAAGTGATCGTTTTCAGTGGCTGTCGCAGATGCATCCACTCTGTGATTTATAATATCCAATAAAATTCTATTGTTCTTCCATATTATTATTATTCTTTTTGCCTCACTCACACTTCTGTTTATTATCTTTCTTTTGTTGAATCTCTCATTACTCTCTTCTCTTATGTTGTATATGCTACATGGAGGGTAGTGTGGAAAGTTGAACTGGTGCACAGCTGTGCGGCATTCTATGTTGAAACCAGTTAGTCGGTCAGTCACTGGGACAGAATTCAATTGCCTCTTATATTGTAATTTTTACGAATTCTCGATATTTACCTTGCTGTTAGGATCGGGAAAGCAAGATAAGCTTTCATTACTCTCAAGTCTGTGTGGAGATCAACAGCACTCAGCATCAAAAATAAGATCCCGATTTTTAACTCCAATGTGAAGTCAGTCAGTGCTACTATACGGATCAGAGACTTGCACTGCGCGTCATAAAGAGCATCTCAAACAAACTACAGACCTTCATTAACAGTTGTCTTCGCTCCATGCTCAAGATGAGATGGCCGGTCAGAAAACATCAGCAACAGAGATCTCTGGCAATGAGCGAACCAACCAGAAACCGATTGTGCAACAAATATGCCGGAAGAAATGGAGATGGATTGGCCATACTCTAAGGAAGCCATCAAGTGACATCACTAGACAAGCCATGGCTCGAGTGTAACCCGAATGGGAAGCGGCGAGTCGGTCGTCAGAGCGAGGGTGACATGGAGGAGGTCATGTGAAGAGGAGATGAAAGCATGTGGGCAGACTTGGAGCCAGGTGAAAACTCTAGCAGAGAACCGAACGCAATGGAGACGTGTGGGGCTGAAGCCCTATGTTCCTCTAGGAATTAAAGGAAATGATAATATTGATACCTTGCTGTTATTTTATTTATTTATTTAAAACACAAACTTGGTACAATATAGACACCAAGAGGATGCGCCACGCAACATTAGTAAGCTGATAATAAATGAGGGTTGTCAACCAGAAAACAAGCGAACAAATATACCTGCCAAGATCACTGAACATTCTTCACACTTCATTTTACTTTCAGATAGGGAAGAAAGTAGGGAATTGTAGTATAATCGTCATTGATGGTGATTCTTGGCCACAGCATCTGATAACATTTCTAGTCACCGATACGAAGTATCTCTCGGACCCCACACCAGGGAGTCGTGATGTATCAATTGATGACGCTAACCTAAAAACACAAATATCCTTCATCCCACAGTTCGACGTCATAGGCTAACCGCCTCCCTTCTGTTTCCAACCAGTCTCAGAGGTAATGAATAGAGGATGCGATGGGATGATATTCGTAGCATATGTCCAAACCACTGAAACCGGTGTTTCCAGGTGATAACACTCGATGAATAGTGTGTGTCCTTCACTGTGTCCAACATACCACACGCTACCAGACCTCAGAATCACCCGCACGATAGTGATGCTATCGGAAGCAAGCAATTCAATGGAGACAGCACAATAGTCTAGTTGTTCTTCAGTTGGTAATGGCCAACAGTAGAATCCAGGACACGTGTTTCGTCCTATTTTGGATTCGTCATCTGTACATGTACCTTCACTTCATCTTCAATGATTGGTATTAGTTGAAGCCATACATTGAATACTGCACACAATACAATTGCACATATTTATTCATAAAAGTTCAAATTTGTTCTAAAAAAGTACACCGAGGGAACATTTATAAGAAATGCTAAAAGAACATTTTTCAACTTATCAGATTTATTAAACTGAAACTAAGATATTAAATGTATATCTTCTAAAGTTAATTATATGATTATTTCAACTTCTTATTATACATGATTCTATATATGATCTTGAATAACACAGATTGAAGATTAGCTTACTAGAAAGATAAAATTATACTGACCTAGAGTAGAGTACACAGATGATATTAAATCATTATTTTAGGTGAAGATACTCACAAAAAAATACAGTCTTCTAAGGACTAAGCAAAGCTCTAGGTATAGTAGTGAACATACAGTTCACCCACGTTAAGTGTAATAATAATAATAGCTTTATTCCGAACAGTAGGGAGGTGTAGACTGGTCTGATTGACTGGTTTTGATCCTCAGGATGGTAAGAACCAATGAAGTCTGGAGACAGTTAGTGGTGATATGGTTGCCTAAAAATCCTCGTTGTCAATGGCTGGCGCACATGTTCTCACTTGTTTGTGATTTGCCCGTCATATCCAATAAAACTCTATTGTTGTTCTGCCCTATTACTATTCTTTTCCCGTCACTCACACTTCTGTTTACTGTCTCTCTCTCTCTCCTTTGAATCTCTCTTTACTCTCTTCTCTTGCTTTGTGTGCTACATGGAGGGATTTCGGTCAGCTCAAAATGGTGCACATCTGTGCAGCGTTCTATATTGAAACCAGTTAGTCAGTCAGCACAACTTCTTTGTGCTCATATTGTACCAGTTTTTGTGTTTTAAATAAAATCAAAAATATTCTCTGATTCCTTGAATGAGTCCATGTTTCTTTCTACAACAGTAGTACTAACGAGTGGATTTTGCGACACCCCCACCCGACCTATTGACAGATTTTAGTGCCCTTCACAGTGTAACACAGTCTCTCTGATTAGCCCAAGAAAGATTAAGAGGGAACAATATAAAGTAGTAATAGGTTGTGTGATACCACTGAATCAGTATCCACTAGCTCCCAGTTTAAGTACAGTTTGGTAAAAAGACTCAATGTACACATATCGGATACTACTTATTTAAGTAGTTATATTCACCACAATAAAATAACTTCTGATAGACAAAATCTAAACACATATATTCATGAGAGTAAATCAAGTAAGTTTATCTGATATGACACACGGTGATATAGTATTAATATGACTGGATGAGGTTTCCAGCGCTATTTATTGCTAGTAGATAGTTGAAGACGATCAGCAGGAAGCCTCGGGGGACTAGTTTTTGTGCTAGTCAGCACTCCTCAGCAAGGCGTATCTGCAATCTTGAAGAAACTAGTTACTAGCTGGTGTCCAATCGAAGCTATTAGTTGCTACTACTCGTAATCATATCTATGCATTCACGCAATCTGATAACTTGCTTTATGTAATTCTACCCCCTGTTGTTTTTTTTATTGCATTTTACTGTGTATCAGGCATAAGCATTGCGCCATTTCAATTACACATGTTTGGTGTTGTTTCACCGAATGTCTTTCCTACACCCAACTATTTTACCTTTAAATAGTTTTAATCTATGCAACTGTATACATTGAAATGGCTCAGCTTTCCTTCCAGATCGGATTATTTATCAGGGTCAATCATCATGATTGATAAACTCTTACATTCAAGATGTATAAAGTTTATTTAATTCAATTGGGACTTTTCCGTTGATTCGTTTGACCGAAGTGCTCGACCTCAAGTTGACATATCGGCTCCTTATGCAGATATCCCGACGATGTCTGATCATTTAAGTTGAAGTAAATTGGTGGATTGTGACTAGCAGTGGATGCCCAGCCTAACTAGTATTTCATCCTATTTTGGGACTCGTCATCTGCATTCCGAAAGGCTCGAACCCAATAGTCATAGTTTCAAACACTAAAAGATTATCCACAAAGGCCACGAGAATCAATCAACGGGAAACGCTTAGCTGACCTAAAATCAAATAATGTTGGTCACTGTTGTTATTTGGTTGAAGGCAATCAACAAGAAGCTCTATACCTGAGCTAGGTTTCGTGTTTGCTGTTGGCACTCATCAGTCAGGAAGGAACTTATCTCCCTTCTAAGTTTCTCACGTCCGAGTCACCCATTGTTGTATTCCGGGACGTTGTCAGTGATAACCAGTCATCTAGCATGTGTTGACCACATTGCAAACTTGACTGTGATGCGATTCAGTCTACAAAAAACGAAGCATTAAACTCATGACACCAGTTACTTTACCACATAGTGTCCAATCAAAATGTTGGTTAACTTTAAACTATTTATTTATACATTTATTCCCCTTAATGAATTTGAATAAAGCAAGAACAACAATGGTTTGTGTAGAATAAAATGGTACCATCATTGTTTATTTCGTTGGCTTCTCATCAGCTGCTTACAGGCCAAAGTCATTATTAAATATATCCACAGAAACAATTTTAACATACTTGCACAGAGTTCATTTCTAAAAAAAATCAATCAATATATGCATACAATAATAATATATATGTATATATAATATTAAAAACTATTCTGAACAACAATGATCATACGCAATGGAATCTTCCAGTTACCAGGGCAAAGAAAAACTGATAACTGCTTCTTTCTGAACGCACAAATCAGGTTTCAGGCGCTTGATGGAGATCGCTTCGGCAAACTTGAGGAGAATTGAGCTCTTTTGCCTATTGATTATTTTGAACGATCTAGCGACGTCCACCTCATGACCCGTGTCAAGGAGATGCCTGGCGATGGCACTGTTTAAAGCATTTATTCCCTTTAGATGTGGGCTTTTTGGTACATGTTCAGAAAATCGTAGATATGTCTTTCTTTCTGTTCTCCCAATGTAACTGCTCCCGCAGATACATGTAAATTTGTATATACAATTGGAGTCAACATGAGAAGGATATTTATCGATTTTTGATTGCATCAAAGAGCAATTTGTTCGATAGACGGTAACGAGCCTTGCTGCAGGATAGGCTATGGTTAATGATGTGCTCAGCCTTCTGTTGATCATTGCTGTAACGTTTTCACCTTTATAATCAAGTTGAATATAGATGGGCTTTTTCTCGACTGTGATTTGTTTGACATTTGAGACTTCACATCTTCCGTACTTGTTAATGAACCTTTGAGGGTGACTGTTGCTTTTCAACATTTTTCGAGAAACATAAATTCTTCCTCTAATTTCTCTATAGAGCATATTCTCCTCGCTCTATAGTACAGAATCCTTCTCTATCATCTACCGGGTGCCAAATAAATTGCCAAAAACATCGAAGTATCGCATGCTCCAATCAGCAGAGGCTATTGCAATTCGCCTCAAACAACCAGTGCTCAGCTAGCCCCTATTACTACCCTGGCCGGTCTTCAGTAGAGACTAAAAATTCATGAATTTGTAATATTATCTTTCCTAATTCTTCTGACATTCAGCTTATTTTATGTTGATGCTGTCGAACTGTAATCCATTAACATTATTATTGATTCGATGTTATTTAAACAACATTAATGTTGTTCATGACACTAATTCATTCATTCACTATTATGGATGGATATATAACTGTAAAGCCTGATGATGAAGGGGTTATCGAAAAGAGTATTCTTTGTTCAGTAACCATTCTTTTGAAGATTTCACAATTCTTTGTCAATTGACTTCTCAGTGCATATTTTTCCGAATCCTTCAGGAAAAAGAGTAAACGAGTGTAAGTTTCTCAGCAATTATGATCGTACTATGCTCTTTTTATCGGACCTTCCTGTTTATTACGCTTTGTAATTTTGTTAATTTGACCTTTGACCGACCGAAAATAATTCTGGAACTTTCTCACCCATTTACTCTATAAGTACACGAATATGCACAGCCTCGCGTAGTTGATGATGACTTCGTCGTAAAGAAAATTTTCTTCACTGCAACTGTCTTTTTAATAATTCCTATGATTCAATGTGTATATTATATCTTTTTGTCTTTCTTTAGGAAATTGCTGACTGTAAATGGATGAATATATCTCATTTGTTATTATCTGCTCATGTACATACAGTTGTATCATTGAATGAATCAAAAGCCTTCAATCATGACTGTGAAATACACATCACAACATTCACGCATAAAATTATTCAACTCATCTATAATCATTCAACTGTGCTGTCCAATGATGAATTAACCCCGTACAGAGAATCTTCTGTTATTAAAGGCAAACCTTACGATTTATTTCTTCCGCGTTATTTCAGTGCTAAGTAACGATGGTGATAATGATGATGATGGCGCTGATATGGAATCTATGTTTTCAGGAATTTTAGTTTTCTTTTTACTATTTTGAGATGTTAATGTTTAGATCGATTATTTTATGCCAAGATTTTTTATCCGCTCCCCTTCCTACTTGTTTTAGTTCTATTTTGTTTGTGTATTTCTCTAAATTCGAACTCAGGTTATTATCTTTTATTGATTGATTGATTGGTCGATCGACTAAGTGAACTGGGAATAAAATATTGTAGTTTTCAATTGTTGATTTTTGTAAATGTTTTGATTGATCTCATCACAGTTAGAGAACTATTGAAAACTAGCAGGGAGTATTGGATAGTTGTTTGAGATTCTCAGGGCTTCGTGTGCTTTTGGAAGTGTGTCGACGGATGTTACCTCCTAGGATACTTGAAATAGAAATAGAATTAGTGTTGAGTGACGGCAGAGTCCAGGGGCCGGTCACCCACGGCCCGTTTAACCTGGCTTTTAGGTTTGGTTCCGTACTAGTTAACTTACGGCTACGGACCACCGAAGGGTAAATTGGGATGTATAATTCCTGGGGTCGACCTTTTCTAACCACCGCCTCTCTCTCAAGAGTGAAGAGACAGTATAGCTGGTATGCTGGTCATCTGAGGGAAACACCTTACTGCTGTTATATCCCTGTTCCCCAGCAGTACGTTTTTGTCCAAAGACTCCCATCATAGTGTAAAAGAAAAACTTACACTATACCGGTAATTGCTTTTAGTTTAATCGCCATCCTAACAATCTTCCCAGCATGGTAGAACCTACAGAAACACTGGTTCCAGCCAGCGTAGCTTGTTGGGTTTTTGGGATATGCAAGCCTGACCATCACGATATCAAGGTAGCAACTATCTGTCGGGCAACTTGAATTGCTCCATTTCTTTGCGAAGTTCTATGTTGAAACCAGTTAGTCAGTTTGAAACTCTTTAGCAGGATTTATCCATAATCTGTCTAGGGATCGAATCCAAGACCTTCAGATTACTAGGTGGCGAGGCTGTTGACCATTTAGGGATTGGGTGGATAGAATTCAATAGCTCATGCATGGTTGAACTTAAAGTATCAGCCAAAATCACAATGACCTTGAACAACCAATCAGAATTCAGATGCAAAAAGTCACATAATCTTTAGGAAAAAAAGCTTTAAAAAACTGGGTAATTGTCTCTTATGTGTTGTAAGAGTGTCTCACAGTTAATCCAAGAATAATCCATAGAGGAATCATATTATGCGCGATAGCTGTATTCATCCAGGTGACTGTACGTCTTGGTGTTCTTTGGGATCCATTGAGACTCTTTAACCTAACCTTTAACTCCCTATCTAACAGTATAGATTTACTCTGTCTTCATGGAACTCACTCACCAAATCCACAAAGACAGGCATGATTTGATATGCAATGACCTTTCGTAGTGTTCCCTAAATCTGATTGGTTCTTCTTGAAAGTCAACTTTTGACAGACCATGACTGGCTATGATAACTGAACTTTATCAGCCCATGAATTCTAATTCCTGCCGATTCTCAATGTATTTACCACCATCTCTAGCCAATGTCATCGTTAAGTATTCGTCTTCATATCCTGTCTGGTAGACTCCACTGATCATAGCTTTTCATTAGAACTCTTTCAGGCAACTTCATCCTGTAACCATTGTGAAATCGTGATCATTAGGGTCCTGTTGTGGTGAGGGCTGTCTGCTAGCCAAAATTGGTAGACAGCAATTTACTTCAATGTTTACGTCCAAAATCTTGGTCATGAGAAAAAAACAGGCACAAAGACTAATGCAACAACCAATAACAGCAGACTTTGCGTGGGCGGGTGCAATTCGCAGATATATGGTTGACCTTCAAAGAGATGACAGAATAACTTCCAGCGAGAAAACGACCAATCAGAAGACACTGTTTCTCTGC